TTTTTACAGCGCACTAGAGTGAGACTAGCCAGTTAGGAATTAGTCTTAGGATGTTATTGATCAACTACTGATGATGGTCTTTATCTTCTGTGTATTAATACCTTACATATTCTCGTATTTCCTATATCTCTTATATTGCTGTTACTTTATTTTTATGGTATTTATGTTATGTTATGGATTTTATGGTATTTTATGTTGTTTTATTATGAGTCTATTGATAGTACTAATATAGTGTCTCTTGTCGCCTCTTTGAGCCGAGAGTCTCCTGGAAACAGCTTTTCTGCCCCTCGGGGTAGAGGTAAGGTCTTCGTACATATTACCCTCCCCAGACCCCACTTGTGGGATTTACACTGGGTTGTTGTTGTTGTTGTTGTTGTAGTCTATTGGAAAGCACCTTAGATATGATCTCAAAGAAGCTTCTCACTAGACTAATAGGTCTAAAATTGTTAATATTCGAAGCTCCCTCCTTTTTTTAAAAGAAAAATGAAAGAGGCATTAACTCTTTTCAAACTCCCAGTAGTTTGGAAAGCATCGATGGTCTCCAACACCTCGCCCTTAACAATATTCCAACACTGCTAGAAAAATGCCAAAGTAAAACCATCAGGTCCCGAAGCTTTATCCCCTGACTCTCAACCGAATTCCTCTTCCCCAACTGTCCTCTCAACTCAAGCCATTCTATATTTTCTTCCCCGATACGGTTAAACTCTGAACTTCCCAACCTAGGTCTCCATTTAGCCTCCTCCTTAAACAACTGCTCATAGACACTGCAATAGCCCTCTTACCTCCTCTTCCAAAAGAAGAGTCTTCAGATCTAAACCACGTATATCTGGCACCTATTAAAGAAAGGTCAACAAGGAGCTGGTTATCAATAAACTCAAAGAACTCCTCCATAGCCTTCGAAATCACCCTTCCCCCGTACCTCTCCTTCGGGAACCGCCTAGTATTAAAATCCCCTCACAACACCCAAGGAATATCCCACTCCTCCATAAAAGTGGAAATCTCCTCCCAAAACAACGACTTAGACCCTTCCCCTATAGGACCATAAACCCCCTCGAAACCCTACTCTACGCCAGCTCCACAACTACGCAATCTCACAACTAAACAGAACACGCCCCTTTTAACCTCCCAACATTTAACTTTTCTCTCATTCCATAGTAAAAGAATTCCCCATGCATAGCCTCTAGCCGGAATAGTCTCATATTATCTTCCTCCCGACAAACTTCTAACAATGCTATCTGACACCAGTTCCATTTTAGTTTCTTGCAGGCAAACAATATCTGTCTCCCATTCTTTAAGTCCCACCTTGATGATGGCCCTCTTGCTAGGGTCATTCACCCCCTTAAGTTCCAACAAATGATTTTACTATTCATTAACAACTTTTTTGCTTTACCCCCACTCAATCATTTTCTATGTCATTTATCTGCTTTTTCAAACACCATTTGTCCAAAGTTCTACTATCATTTAAAGTAAAAGATCCTCAATGTTGTGTTTGTGACAACCTCTAGCTACATCAATTTTTTTCTTTGCCTATGAGTCATCCTCCAACAATATTAAGTGTGAGTGGAATCGACATTTAACACATAGGATAGGGAAATGGCAAGGATGCACTGAGTATCTCAATTCCATGCACTTTCTTCCCAAATATCACGTTCTGGGAATATATAACCAATACATAAGCTCAATTCTTGCAAAAGCAAATCGATCCTTTTATATATAATCAAACTTCTCCTCGCCCCAAAACAAACATCTTGATTAACTCAAAGTATCCGATCCAACAATAAGGGACTATTATATAGTGATTGTTAGCAAATCCAGAGAGAAACACCAAAAGACTTGACACATTTCATAATCACTTGAAAGTTAATAATCAACAGAGCAAGATTTTTCTGTCTTTTAACCATAAATATCTACACTGCCCTGATTTTTCATAAAATTGTTCGTGATGTATAGAGCAATTGACAGTGATTAAATGAAAATCATGTATTAAAGTAGCCACAAGCAGATGAAAATGCATGCACCACCTCGTCCCCCTCATCCACTGTGACTTCTTAAAACAGTACAAAAGCACCAGCAGTTATACCACGGTGTTCAACTTAATAAAGAATATAAGACGTTAATTTGACTGTGCGCTAAACTAAATCATTGATAGTTGAAAACAAAAAAATATTAAAGTATTGTTTGAAACCTGAAAAGTTAGTAACATCTATCAAAGTTTAAAACGGTAATAGCTTAACCAATTTGAACTTTTGTAACTTGTGAAAGTTGTATAGAAATGACATGGAAAGAGTGTTTATATAAATTGGATTGGTTTAACAGTATTTAACACGTCATGATGAAGCTCACAATTCAGCATACCCAAATTCATACTCAATTTATATTAGAACAACCAACAATTCAAAAACACAACACAAACACAGTCAAATTCTAAGAAAAATTTAATCAAAAGGGACTAAAGTACACTAAATTGAAAGCAAGAGGATTAAAGTGCGTACTCGATCTTCGGGGTGAAAACAAGGATGAATAATACCATTCATATCCAAATAAAGGTTATCATATTCGATGTTGTTTGGGTTAGGTTTACTCGTATCAACTGGAACTTTAATTCCTTCAATAACAGCTGCTTCTTCTTCTATGACGTCTACTATAACCATTGAATACTTCTCAGCTAACCACCGGTAAAATGCCGGTACTCCCATTGTAATTAACCTCTCAAACCCACTAATTAACGGACTTTTAATTAAGAATGGTATAAGAGAAAGATATTAGGAGAGAAAGGAAGTGATATGGGAATGACAATGGCGGGCTACGATTTTCAGATCGAGGAAAGAGGTTAGGGCACGGAAGAATTGTGAAAGGACGACAATGACCTTTCTTTATATAGACGTCACCTGAGGGGTTTATAAGATCTTTAGTTGACAGTTAAAAGAGCTGAACGAAAATATCTGTGCGAAAAGCATGACAATTGAAAATCTAGCAAAGATACGTACTAAGCAGTCTGTCAAAGTTAAACCACGCGCAAATGCAAATTACGAGGTGTGATAATAGACACTTCTGCATACTAAATTTTTACTTTTCTAGATAAGTTAAGTCCGTACCGTGTACGCGGACTCACAATTTTCATTTGTTTGAGATTGAAATGTTGTATTTTTCGGTTTACCGCTAAAAACTTTTTTATTTATTTTTAGTCGCAAACAAAATACAATTGCAGTCACTCGTTTATGACAAGTCCATAAGGTACGCTTAGCAGGTAAGAACTTCACCGGGTGTCCTACCCGTTTAATATGTACTCATTTTTTTTATAAATTTCAATTGATACTCAATTTTTAGTTAACTTCAAATACTCACGATTTTCTCTTCTTTTTCGCTATTGCTATTTTCTTCTCTGTATATGTCACATATATTCAGGAACTTTGTTGTTGCTTTCTTTTTTTCTGTATTCATAACTCATGTATACATGAGCTGCTTGGTTTCATCTTTTCTTCTTAGTTGCAAAACACCATTGTAGGGTGTGCTTAAGGTTTCTTCTTCTTCTTAGTTACAAAATAGGTTTGTTAGATTTGTTGTTTTAGAAAATGTTATTCTTTGTATTATTTGAAAGTTATGTTTCAAATTTGAGCTCATTTGGAGTAGATTGTGGGGTTAAATCGTGAATTGGATTGTTAAAATTCGAAAAAACAAGTTTAGTTTCAGAAGTTAAGATTTGATTTCTAAAGTTGCATTGAACAGATAGAACTACTTAAGATTCGAATTTTCTGAAGTTGCATTTGAAAGATAGAAGAACTTCAGATTTGATTTCTGAAGTTGCATTGAATAGATAAAACTACTTAAGATTCGAATTTTCTGAAGTTGCATTTGAAAAATAGAAGAACTTATGATTTGATTTCTGAAGTTGCATTTGAAAAATAGAAGAACTTATGATTTGATTTCTGAAATTGCATTGAAGAGATAGAACTACTTAATACTCGAATATTCCGAAGTTGCATTTTAAAGATAAAAGAACTTAAGATTTGATTTTTGAAGTTGCATTGAAAAGATAGAACTCCTTCAAATTCCGGTGGATAAAATTTATAAATTTTTATACAATACGGTTATAACTTCAATGGCAGCTCCAAAAAATAAAGGAAATTTTACCTCTTATAGCAAACTATTATACCCTATTTATTATAAGCCAAAACAATTTCAAAATATTATCACTTATAGCTACCTTTTCAATTTTATTGCAAAATAGGTATTTATTNGTTCCACTAGTCAATTGATACCAATCGTTATATTTTGGGATATAATTAGCAATTTAATTATGAAATATAAATAATAAGTAGATATTGATACTAGTTAATTACATTGTTGCACTTTATATATAGTTACATTGAATGTCTCTCTCTCTCTCTCTCTCTCTCTCTCTATATATATATATATATATATATAATACAATGTATACAGTATTTTGCTTGGCCGGAAAACGCCATCTCCAGTGAACTTTCTTCTCTTCTTTGCTATTTTAGTCACATGCAATAATTCAAATACATTGTATTTTGTACAAGTACACTCAAATATATTGTATTTTTTTATAAATACATTATTTTCTCGCCTGTCTTTATGTATTCTAAAGGTTTATATTTTTTAATACTACTGAATATCACTGTGTTTTATGATTTTTTATTGTGCGGTGAATTTAATATAATGTATAATAGTGAATAATGAATATATGCGAATTGAATACAATGTATACGGTCAAATTGAATAGAACGATATACACCCTATTTCTTGATTACCTCACTGTATTTATCAATACAGTCGCCTGAATACATGGAATACAGCATAGTAGCATCGAAATTGATGTAGAATTGATTTTGTTGAGTTAAATTAGGAGTGATACACGCTAATTAATCCTCTTTTCCATTATTAAACAGCTGGCCTCCCCTATTTTTTAGGCGGATTCTGCTGTTGTATTCATGAATACAGTCGCACAACTGGACTCCCATATTTTTAGGTGAATTCTGCTACTATATTCAAGAATACAGTAGCGCGGATACAGTCGCGTAGCAATGAAATTTATGTAAAATTGATTTTGTTAAGTTAAATTAGGAGTGATACACGCTAATTGATCCTCTTTTCGTTATTAAACAGCTGGATTCTCCTATTTTTTAGGTGAATTCCACTATTGTATTCATAAATGTAGTAGCGCGACTACAGCGAATACAGACGCACAACTGGACTCCTCTATTTTTAGGTGAATTCTGCTATTGTATTCATGAATACAGTAGCGCGAATACAGCGAATACAATCGCGTAACAACTAAATAGTAGCTATACAAAGTAATTATGTATATGATAGCTATAGAAAATTAATAGCCACTAAACAATAGTGGTTTTTGAAAATTCTTCAAAAATAAATATTTGTGAAAATGCCCGCTCAACAGTCATTAGAAGGGGATCTTTGCAAACCCACTTTTACGCCTTAACTGGGCCTGTTGACCCAAATCATGTCTAATTTGGTGGTAGACAACTAAGAACTGGGCCTAGATTGTAGATTTCTTATTCGTGATAAAATATAGTAAGTCGTATGCTCAATGATTGTAGTTATTATTGCGTCAATTGGGAAACCCTCATCCAGCAAGTCATCGTGAACAAAACAGAGTTGTAGACCTATATTAGTTAAAGAAGGTGCAATGCTACAGCAATATAATCATTTTGTACTCTTTGTATACATATGTGTATAGGTCAAAATCTGATCAAAGTAATTCTACTTAAGGGAGAACGATCAGGGGTCAATCAAGCCGAAGTCACGTACAAGAAACAATATATCAGCGAATGACTCAGCTCGGCCCGAACGGCTAGTTCAACACTTAGACAGTTCAGAAGAATACTCTAGAGGATATTCCAAGAACTTAGGTACTTCGGTTAATGACCGATGAGTAAGGGAAGTGTTTTGTATAAATATCATGAGAGAGAATAACAGAAAGGGGGAGGGATGAGAGGAACACATACATAGACATTCATCCCTCTAAAGGAGAAGATCTTCCATCCTCCCAAGCTCTTCGCCAAAAGGGGATAAATCTCAGGATCTTGGCATTTATCTGTAGTTCAACTTTATCAAATGTATGGAGATCTATCTAGTTCAAGAATGGTGATTCTTTTCCTTTATGTATTCGTTGTTATCATTTGATATTATTGAAGCCATCTTCCTTTTCTTACATTATGGAATACAATCGCGACTATAATCAAATTTTACATTCAGCTATACTTGTCTATTCTTGTTTTCAATCTCAAATCTAGAATAAATTATCTCTGGCTAGGATTTACCCCATATCTTCTTATTTAATTAGTTTAATAAAAAGGCTTGAAACTTTTTGGTCAAACAATTTGGCACCGTTTTGTGGGGATTTCCTAGCCAAAGTTTTAGTTTCCTCTAGATCTAAACTCGATTCTAGTTCTACTTCCCGTTCATTGTAACTTCATCCCTTCGCCTGTGTGCTTGTGGTGCGGCTTATGTTTCCGTATCTTCATGCACTCGGGACTGGATCAGATTGAGACTTGAACTCGAAGATCTCAAAGGGCGAAGTAAGTCATCAGCCCACAAGGTGCCCAAATTTGACTAACGCCGAAGCTAAGTACGAGGTTGAGATCGAATCTAAAGCTAGCACTCTTAGTTCATTGCCAATAAAATCGAAGGGACTCTCTAGACCCAAGTAGCGGAGACGGCAAAAATACCAAGCCAAAGACCCACAAGATCTCATCTGAGTTCGGTGGATATTAGCTCAACCAATGATAGCAGCTACGAAGCATATCCAAAAAAGGGAACATGATCGCTCCCTTCCACTCGTCAATCAATCAGTCGAGGTAACAAATGATTTCGTTTGGCTTTAACTTGCTATTTCTTTTCAGGATGGGACAGGAACAGGGGCATACTCACCAACACGTGAACAGGGAACAAACGTCGTCAAAATAGCACACCAAGAAAATGCTCCGCGCCATATCATCCTATAGGCAACGGTCGAGCGAAACCCCCCATCCCCCAATAAGTTGGTACTCAACGCCATAAAGGAAAAGTCTGTATAGACTAGGACTGGGTCACCATCCCAGAAAACATAAAATCTCTCCAACATGCAGACAAAACACAAGTGCGTAAAACTCACCCACGCGCTCGACAAAGCACTATGCGACGACACAACTAGCTAAAATTCGGTCTTGTACATACATTGAGACGTCCCGAAGCTTGAGAGATGAATGTACTAGATATACTGGACTCCTCGAATGTATGTACGAACCGTACAACGACATGTAGTATTCTCCAATAAACGATTAAGCGAAGCAGTATACAGAATTCTTACATAACTCCACCAAGTTTACACATCACGCCAACACAGGAAATATACATTCGACCTCGCTCGAATTAGCAAGACAAATTCGACCTCGCTCGAATCAACAAGTCTAAATTCGAGCTCGCTCGAATTAGCAAGATAAATTCGTACTCGCTCGAATCAACAAGTCTAAATTCGACCTCGCTCGAATTAGCAAGATAAATTTGACCTCGCTCGAATCAACAAGTCTAAATTCAATCTCGCTCGAATTAGCAAGATAAATTCGACTTCGCTCGAATCAACAAGTCTAAATTCGTCCTCGCTCGAATTAGCAAGATAAATTCGACCTCGCTCGAATCAAAAAGTCTAAATTCGACTCGCTCGAATTAGCAAAATAAATTCGACCTCGCTCGAATCAAAAAGTCTAAATTCGACTCGCTCGAATTAGCAAAATAAATTCGACCTCGCTCGAATCAACAAGTCTAAATTCGACCTTGCTCGAATTAGCAAAGATCAATTCGACCTTGCTCGAATCAACAAGTCTAAATTAGACCTTGCTCGAATTAGCA